CAAATATATAGTCTGAGGGTTGAGCAACTACCTCCGTTTATGAGACAAAAATGTTTCCTTTACAAAGGAAAGAGGAAGTTTCCCAAAGCAGGATGCATCATGATGACATGAGCACAGCATAGAAAGGTTTATGACTACTGAAAAATAAAAAACGATTAATCTCTGTAATAAAAACACTAAATTTGATTTCATGCGTAAAACATTTAAGAAAATCATGATGCAGAGAATTTCTTTAAAAAATGCATATTACCTGCCATCTTTAATGTCAAGGTCTCAAATCTAGATCCTCCATATCAAGATTCATCAAATCATGTTAAGATATGATGAAGTCTTTTGGTCCAAACCTTGAAAAAACTTTATCCATCGTCTCTTACAATTTCATAAAATATTACAGTCAGAGTAGATGTTGTGATGGAATCAACTTCTACAACATCAATTTTTATCTCAAGATCTTCAAAACACTTTGAGGTCTAGATATTATTATATTTGCTCATTTTGATTCACTGTAAACCCAAATTAGTCATCATTACTAAAACCGTTTACGGCAAGTGATTGCACTGTGATGTCCAGTTTTTACAAAATCAAAAGCAAAACAAATCAAGCTCTGTTTACATTAAATCTTGTGTCCAAGATAATCCATTACCAAAAAACTCAAGTTTTTAAAACCAATGTTTATGAGTAATTAACTCAACCATTAATCATGTTTCTCAGTAAGCATTACTCATGATGATCAGTGTTTATTTCTCATGTTTTTAGTTAGAATTATTAAATGTAAATGGTATGGTATGGTATGGTATAAAGTTTATTCATTTTAAAAAAGTACAAAACAATTCCATAACAATATAGAAAAGATACAAGAGATTTAAAATGAAAGGCAGCAGAAAGAAGAAAAAATCTTATTATATCTGCCCCTTTTTTCAAACAATTATTTCAGACATAATAATTTTCAAGTAACAGAACAAAATGAATAACTCTTTATATTTTTTCTAATTCTAATACAAAACACACACTAAGCTACTTCATATATACTTTTTTAACAATTCAGTTTTGATCTTTTTTTTAAATGTACACATTGACTTGACATTTTTCACATCACTCTCTAGAACATTCCACAATCCAACTCCTTGGATTGAGGTAGACCTTCCCTTCAGACTAGTTCTGAATTTTGGTTTGACAAATATTTCTATCCCCTTAAGATTGTAACAACTTTGTCTTTTAATAAAATTTATTTGGATATTTAATGGTAATGTGTTATTTTGAGCCCTATACATAACTGATAAAATACTATAATCTACCAAATCATGGAACTTCAATAACTTCAGTTGATAAAATTATAATCATAATCAATCAGATTTTTTTAACATTACACAATAATTATCTGTGTATTACCTGATGTTCCTTACATAAAAATGACGATTCTATTTATTTTTCACAAATTTATTGCAAAATTAGTGTAAGAGTAACATTTTAAACATGTAAATCTTAGTAAACATTTCACCATGTTAAAGATTTTAAACATGAATACAAAAGTAAATCTGAAAAACAAAAATGTTAATATCGTGTGCAAAGGGAAACATGCTTGCATAACATCTTCATCATTTACATCAATAATCTGGTCAAAAGTCGAACATGGAACTCTTGAATGGCTCCGACACTTACACCGCCTCATAAGAAGAGCGTCCTACAGTTCTTTGATTTGGAGGCCTCAACGATTAGACAAAAACAACTAACTAGCATGGGGGCACATTAATTGTTTAAAACAAGTAATGATGAACAGGAACATTTCTGTGTAACAGTTACAGTTTTTTCAGTGTGTAAACGTAACCGGCCCACACATTACAACACTTGTTCACATTCTGTTTGTATTTTAAAGATGGCTTCAAACTGAACTTCAGCAGTAAAAACACTAAACTTCTAGCTGCTAAATAATAATACTAATAAAAAAAACTCCATCTAACCAAAAACAGAGCACATGCACCATTTTACACAAGTAGTTGATTTTTCAGTGTTTGAATTCTTGGCTTTCACTCAGTACTTCCCAAATGAAAAGATATCTGTTGAATGAACAGGAGGGTATTTCTGATTTTCTTGGGGTAGTTCAGGTGGAGTCCATATGTGAGCCCCAAAAGGAGACCCACAGCTTCTGGCAGGGTCATCAGCTTTTCCACAACAACTTCACCCTCAATGACGATTTTCAGGCCGGCCGGTGAAGATCTGATGTTGGGGGAGAGACACTTTCAGGTGTCATCAACAAGATCCCAATGTCCATTGGGCCAAAGGACTCATCACCATCCTGAAGATAAACTAAATAAATGATTGCCAGAAATATAACCGTCAGGGAATAAAATTGATGAACTACAACAGACCACCATGAAGAATTACAGAACAGGAATGGTATGAAATGCAATTTATGCTAACATGATGATAACTACTATTTGGTCGTATTTCAAAATCTCTATCAATAAACATTGTAAAATCAATATTGGTCTAAGGACTATTTGAGGGATCTTCTTGGTCACTGGATAGAAATAGATCTTGTGACATTGCAGAAGCTTACTGAAACAATGGCACAGTGAATGCATGCTGCAATCAGAGCTAAAGGCGGTCCAACAAAATATTAGTGTGTGACCTTTATTTGGTGGCAACATTTTTTTGGCCACGCAGTGTATGAAATCATGCAATGAAAAAAACAACAACAACAACAACAACAAAAACAGGGATATGTTGCTACAGTAAAAAGTTACAATAATATCTAAACTGCATTATGAAAGTGACAATTGACTAAAGCAGAAAAACAAAAGTTTTACAAAATCTAGCTGTCTTAAAGTTGTCTACAAAAACTAACTTCTATCTTTGATCTGCAGACAGGCCTCTTTCTCACTGCTGGCTTGTTCAATTTATACAATAAACATCAAATTATAAAAGTTGCAATTACAAACAAAATGTATACTTACAGTCTCTATGTGTCCCTGTGATGGACTTGCGACCCGTCCAGGGTGTACCCTGCCCCTCGCACAGTGATTGTTGGACATGGGCACCAGCGACCCCCGTGACCCAAAATGGAATAAGCGAGTAAAGAAAATGGATGGATGGATGGATGGATGGATGGATGGATGTATACTTACAAAACTAGATTTGAAGAACTCCGTAGGATTGTCTCCAAGTAGGTGAGGAAGCCCTCTTAGTATGACTGTTCTTTGTTCAGTGGAATCCAGTGACTGTAAGACTGAAAATGGATAAATATGTTAAAAGAAAAAGTCTCTCATACACACGGGCAAAGACACACAGACATTTTGTGCTTTTTGTCCTGGTATTACCTGCAAAAGCTGTGCCAAATGTTCACCCATGCTGCCTCTCTTAGCTTTAAAAATTTCCGTAAGACGGGTAGTGTGATCATCAAGGGCAGAATAAAATTCCTGCAGCAGGTTTTTCCCCACAATCCTTTTGAATTCCAGACAAATCTTTAAAAAAAATATGAAATTTGTTAGGTAAGTTAAAATATGTTATCGTTTAAAACTGTTTTAGACTTCTTACTATTTGCTTAAAACTCCAGCCGTGTGAACTGAAGCCCAGCTGGAACACCAAACACCCAGAGTTTTGTTTACAGCTCATGTGTGTACTAAGACCACAGACCTTGGGTTTCCAAACAACTGATGGCTGTTGTTTAGTTCTGACCTTGCTATCCTGCTATCCTGCTTCCGTATCAAACTGTCTCTGGCTTAATCATATTTTGTGTCTCTGCTGTGTCGGAGAAGTTGTGTCTGCTGATTTGTGCCTTGTTTCCCACACCCCACTCTACCTAATAAAATACGAGCATCACAGGTGGAACGTCGGACTTCTTCTCTTGACGTTTGGTCGAGCAGAACTTCCACCTCTGCAGAGGCTCTTATCAGAAACTTACGTTTGTCTTGTGTGAATTATTTTTACAAAGGTGTTAGGAGGAAAAACCCTTTCATCTTGGCAAGCTAGCCAGGAACTCCCCGCATCTGTTCATCGGTGGGCTCGACAAGGGTGCGCTGACAGCCAGCAACAGGCCGCCCAAAAGCCCCAGACGCCGATTGCATCACAGGCCAGCGTGCAATAGGTTCGACTTGAGGCATCGACGAACAGACCGGCGGAGATCCGGCCCATCTCTCACACAAGGCAGAAAGGCGAGTATGAGATTCTTTTTTGCAATGAGCAAAGTGAAAAAGAGTTTAAGCGCAAAGTGAAAAGAGAAAAAGAGTTTGTCGAGACCCAGTAAAGTAAAACAGTAAGGTTGTTTGCCCAAAACAAGCTGAGACCTTGTTAAAAGTGAAGCTGTTTTGTCCATACAATCGAGATCTTATTAAAAAGTGAGATTGTTTGTTTAAACCGGCCGACACCTCGTTTGAAGTGAGGCTGATTTGTGCACACAACCGAGACCTTAAAAGTGAGGTGTGACAAGTCAAGACCTGATTAAACAGTGAGACGGGCACCGAGACCTTATTGGATATT